AAAAGGCATTGGCCTCCATTTTGAATTCCATTTTGACAAGTCGTTGGATTGCCCTATATCGCTAATGATAACCGAGGAGGTTAAAATTATACCTGCAAAGGTTAGTTTGACGTGTGGTTTTTGCTTTCAAAACAGAAACCGCATGCACGTCAAATTGGACTTTTGAGGTTAAAATTCCACTCGGTTATTCAAGCGTCACAATTTACAAAGCTCCTAGTACAGAAGCGCCCTCTACAACTCAGCTTCCAATATTACATGCCATTTCCATCATGTTAAACGATGTTTGACCATACTTATGACAAAAAAATCAAAACTAAAAATTTTCAAGAATGACCAAAATAAACAGAAAACATGTTATCGATTACTACCAGCTGTATGATCATTAACTTTATAACCAAATATCAACCCTTGGTTGGTTGTTGGCTGGTTTGTTTGAGGCAGGGTTAGGCGTGCTCATATCCCGTCTAACTTAAGCAATTTTCCCTCCTCTGATGGGATCTAGCAGCTTGCTGGCAAGTTTCTCATGCGAGAGTCTCTCGCCGCGTTGTATTCCTCCAAATAAATTGTGTCTTTCGCGAGCCAGTGCTTTGCAGTCGTATATTATATGTAAGGCGGTTTCCTCCTCTTTACCACACAGTCTACATGTGGTCGGGCCATTGTAGACTCTCATTTTATGCATGTGCGCTTTAAGATGGTCCTGTTAGTAGTCCTTCCACCTGTCTTATCTGAGTACGCGTTAGTGACAGTGACAGTACCCTAGCCGTTAGCATCTTTGAGGGGTTTCCAATTATCCCCTTCGAGTGTCTTGCTCCAGGTGTGGATCGCCGATAGTCGAGGTGTTGTCGGTGTTGAGTTGATCCGTCGACCACGTTTCAACTGCCGTCTTTATAATCTGCTTCGATATCCAAAATGCGGATTCTGGTCTTGTGTGGGTTGCAGCTACGCCCGCTCCGGCCAGTTCGTTAGCCTTTCCTATTCCCGAATGCCCAGGAACCCACAGGAGCCTTATCCTGTTATTCCTTGGCGACAGAGCTTCGGTCGGGTAGGCATTTCATCGTTATTTTCGAAGTTAATCGATGTGAATTCAGAGCTTTTAGAGCAGCCTGACTATCTGAGAGAATACTTATGTTTTGGTTGTTATAATCCAGCTTTAGAATCTCCTGTGCGCATGCTTGAGTTGCAAAAATTTCTGCCTGGTAAACTGCGGCAATAAGCCCCAGAGGGCTGCTTTGTTCTGATTTTGGTTTCTCTCCATATACGCCAGCGCCAGCTCCAACCGCTGTTTTGGAGCTGTCTGTATACCATGCTAGACCAGGCCTCTAATTATATGAGGCGTTCCTTCCTGCTATATGCTTGGATCGCATTTGACTTTGAATGGTTTTTCAAACTTATGGGTTACCACCATTTGATCCGTTTGCATTTTCACTATATCGTCCATCAGGTCGATAACCTTTGTGGGGCCGTAGTTGCCTGGTGTTTCTTTCCATGCCCCGGCAGACCTTTTAATGTGAACATTGAGACATTCCAGTCTCTGAAGGCTATCCAGCTTATTGACCGTCGTTACTTGTTGTGCTTTTGTCCACCATATCATTCTTGGTCTCAGACCTAATGTTTTTCCCAACAGACTTCTGCATCTAACTAGACACATTTTTGCTTTGTTAGACGTTGAGGAAAACCACCTATTTAAAATATTATTTCTTTAAATCTTAACTTTTTATAAAAAAACGTTTACTGAATAAAACTAAATGTTGCAACCTTGTATGCGCCGTGAAGCGTACTGAAAGTATACCGGGTGGGGCACGAAAAACTTTCCACCCAGGTTTCCTCAGGTGTTAGGTGTAAAAATCGCTCAGACACGTCAATTTTTGTTTTTTGGGGGACACATTTTATTGGTATTTTCACTCTCTATCGGTGAACCCCTAAGTGGGGGTAACAGGTACCCCCAAAATTTCAAATGGAAAGAGGGGTCGAGTGATATGTCATTTGGTAGCTATTTTCATTGAGATTATATCCCCGTAGTTTTAAGTTGCTACTATTAACTCTGCCGAAATGGCGGCATGTCAAAGTTAGGATAAATGCTTTTTTTCGATTATACAACTCACCGTACATTATTCCCATATGACACGAGAGGCTTAATAAGTGATAAGCCTTTTGGGATTATCGCGCTTGGTGGCATTTATAGCAAATTCTATTATAGAAATTTTTTTGAATTTTAAAGTAAGTATTGATTAAAGTTTAGTTCGTTGTATAAAAACCATGTCGACAGGGTAAATAGTAGCAACTTGAAACTTCGGGGATATAATCTTAATGAAAATAGCTACCAAATGACATATCACTCGACCCCTCTTTCCATTTGAAATTTTGGGGGTACCTGTTACCCCCACTTAAGGGTTCACAGGTAGAGGGTGAAAATATCAATGAAATGGTCGAGGGCGTCAAGGTCGACTCAAGGAAGCACACGTCTACGGGGGCACTTGAGCCTGGGAACTTTTTCAATACCGTGGGAAAATCTCTAGATCGACGGCGCCTTTGATCTGAAATTTCACTTGAGAGTGGGAACTTTTTTGGTACCGTGGGAAAATTTCCAGATTGTTAGCGCCTTTGATCTGAAATTTCAATTGAGCCTGGGAACTTTTTCGGTATCATGGAAAAATCCCCAGATCGACGGTGCCTTTGTACTGTTTTTTCATGAAATCCTGATAAGGTTGAATTAGGAATAATTGCTCATTATTGAAATTATAGCAGCTTGGAAAAATATATATTCTAAGAAAGAGTATGAATTCTCTCTAAATCAGAATAAGTGGGGGGTACTCAAGGTCACATTTCAAGGTCGTGGAGAGAAAAGTGGGAGGCGCTCAAAGTCACATTTCAAGGCCAAGGTCAAGGTCATGTGACGTCAGAGGAGTGGGGGGTGGCGTCAAGGTCATGTGACGTCAGAGGAGTGGGGGGTGGTGTCAAGGTCATGTGACGTCAGAGGAGTGGGGGGTGAACCGGAATCGGGCTTTGAACCCTACTAGTAACTAAAAATGTTTGTATTATAAGTTTTGTGTTTACCTTTTCACTGCATCTCGCATCATCGCAAATTCGAAGACACACTTTTATTGGTGTGGGTTTTGTCTAATTAATTAATATTTATGATCACAGAATGTTTTCTCATTTTTCTAATATTAGTCTGGGAAAATTGTCGGAAAATACATGCATTGCAAAAAAAATAAAAATCCCTACCCAAATGAACTTTTCAGGGATGATAGGGGGCGGGTGGGTGATCATAAAACCGGAGATATCACACATTCACCCCTCTGGCATTTTGCGCTATAGGGGTTGAAAGTGCGCCATTGGCGATTACTTGTACCTATTGATTTTAGAAAAGAAAATTTCAAATAAAAGATGTGCAACATTATTTGATCTACAATGTTTATTTGAAGACTTTTTTGATGAAGGGCCGTCTGTGGTCATACGGGCCATTTGAAATTTATAATATTTCATGTACAATGTCATATACCTATCTTCAACTGTTTCGGAAATATTGACAGTTGAAAACTGACTTTTTTGCATCTGTGACAGACTGTAAAACCTGAACTCTGAACCTGAACTCTGAACCTGAAACCTGGTTAATTTTACTAGAAAACGGATTTTACATTCCTATCTTAGTTTTTCATAAACTATCATTTGACACCAATCTTGAATTTAATCTATGATTAAAATTTCCGCCTAAATTATTAATCTTCAGTTAAATTCAAAGTTGGTGTCAAATGATAGCTTATGAAAATCTAAGATAGGAATGTAAAATCCGTTTTCCTCTAAAATCAACCGTTTAGGTTTCACAGTCTGTCAAATATGCAAATAAGTCAATTTTCAACTGTCAATACTTCCGAAACAGTTGAAGATAGGTATATGACATTGTACATGAAATATGTCTAGAATTTTCCGCAGAATCCAGAAAAGTCATAATATACAGGGGGAGTCATTTTAAAAAAAAACATAACTTTGTGTCACTTCTAATTATTGGGCCACACTGTATACTGGAAAATAATTTAAGAATGTATAGTCTGGCTAGCCAAACGGCGAACTCCAAAAGAATTTGCTGCTTTGCCAAACTTGACGGAAACAATGATAAACAAGTTGGTGACATATTTTTTTTGCTGTATGGGCATGTGTAGTATTTCGAAATAGAAAAAAATCCGGCAACATTGCGAAATGATGGATGTGGAGAGGCGTGATTATTCAGAGGCATGATTCTATTGGTTAGAGTCTGAACGACAGCACGCAGTGGCGTGGTTATTGGCGAAACTAGAGAATTTTTTTCTAATAATTTTATTGGTTTATTTCTTTGGTGTTTCCGGTGCCACTGAACCGAAAGACATGGCTGTCATCAGGCGGTGTCAGTTGAGGTGTCAGTGGATACTTTTAGGTTACGCCCCAGTTTTCTTCCCCCTTTCGTCTCTACCAAGTTACCACTTGCCAAACTATAGTACTCATGTTTATCTACAAGTTTTGTATTTAGTTTTTTCTTCGATCTCCGTTAGTATAGTAGATATGGACAACCCCGTTCTTACTAACTCACCCTGTGTATGTATAAGTTGATTTAGTATTAAAGAGTAGTAAGAGTAACTACTGTATTTACTTAAGTAAAATACTCAATTTTTATTCCCATTTCTGTTCACTTTACCTACATTTTAAATAAATTGTATAATACAGTGACCGCCAAAAAGTTTGCAACAAATGGGAAAATATTTTATTATCCAGTTATCAAAAAAAAATGTTACGTGGGATCAATTCAGCAACAAAAAAAGTCACTGTGACAGATGTCATGTGACCACAGTCATGGCGGAAAATTTAAAAAGTTCGCCTTAAATATGTGAAAAGTGGGGTTAGACGACCAGAAATCGGAAAATTGTAGAGAGAAAAGTTGTTCAGGATCCAATCATCCAGTAGGTATAAACCTACTTCATTGCATGCAAGTGCTTTTAGGTACTTAGGTACTAAAAACAGCGTATTTTTTCAAATTGAAATTTTAAATATTCTTGTGTTAGTTTTTATAAATACAATAAAAAATGAAGCTTAGTATTAATAAAACAACTAAAAAATTTTTAGACTTCTGACAGTCAATGTTTAATACCGCAATAGTTAAAATGTATCTAGTGGCGGAACTGCGTATTTGCTAAACAAACTATTCCAAAATAAATATTTTTCCTGCTTCGGGTATCCTTCAGTTAATACCAAGTCCTTTCCTATGTCCAAATACTTGAAAACGTTTGGTTGAACTGGCTCCCAGGTTACATTTTGTAGAATTTCTTTATCCATTCCTTGTGGAGTAGGATTTCTTAAAATTAGAAAATGACTATGAAATACACACCAATCTCTAATTCAGAAGTTCAATAACTTCTTCATAAAAGTGATTACAAGTGACTATTAACATTGTTATAGGTAAAGTTATTCTTGGGTACTTACAAATACTTCACAAAATTAGTCCACAAAGCCATTATCCTATAATGAGTATTCTGATCGGATTCAGGAAAATAAGACATATCTGTGTTGTCTGGGATTTCATTGCTATACCATTTGCTAAAGAAATAATTAACTTCTTCGGCATGGGTGACATTGCCATCTGTACCTATAAAAATAATACCATAAACTTCATAATATTCATAATAAATTACTATAAAAATTTTGTCACTAACCTGGTACTCTATAACTGGAATATCCCATAGGACCGCTATAAGAAAACTGATAAAAGTGTACCGTGCTGTGATAGGACATTAATTCTGCTTGCTTAATATTTGCTTTGTCAAAGTCATGCATGCTGTGAAACTAAAATATTAGCAAATGTAAAATTATGTTTTTTGTAATTTATTAATCTCACCATAATCCCTTTAGCAATATCACCATTAAAACCTTTAGAATCAGTAACATAATTTCTAATTTCCAATCCTATAGTATTTCTTAAATCTTTGTTAGTAACGTGTAGGTCATCAGGTACCATAATGATTGGTTCTTGATCGTAAGCATTCCATAGGAATGATAAGTCTAAAATGAAATTTAATTGAAGCATTTTGACGGTTGAATTGGGATATTATTGTTCATACCTCCATTGGCTAGAAGACCCAAAGATTCCTCATTTGTCATTCCTGCCATAACTGGTACCCTATTGTAGCTACCTCTTTCAAGCAGTCCATATTGAGCTTCTGTTAAAAAAGCGTCTTCGTGTGCTACTTCAATTACTGGAGCGTAAAAGAAGCCACTGGAAATTTGGTAATTGCTTGCAGATTCCTACAAAAGCAACCAATTTCACAAGTTAACTTCAATGCAATATATAATTTCTTACAGAAGTGCTAGAAAATAATAATGAAGCGTTATCGATAGCAACTGCTGGGACGCTTTGGAGAAACAGTAAAAGTTCCGTGGTATTTTCGCTATTAAAACTAGGATCGATCAGTTGGGCAGTTTTAAATGTGATTTCAGCTTGGTCTCTTTGATAAGCCCACGGTGATAATGATGATCCGCTTTCAAGAATTGCAGCTCTATAGAGGCCTAGAGAGTCGTAGCATGTTGAATTTCACCAATTTATCAAAGGAGACCTTTACCTGCAGATGTGGGACTCAACAACTGATAAGATACAGACGCTGAACCAGCGCTCTGGCCAAATATGGTTACTTTCTCAGGATCACCACCGAAATATTTAATATTTTTTTGAACCCACTTCAATGCCTGAACTTGGTCTTTTAATCCCAAATTCCCTGGAAGAACTTTATCACCAGTCGACATAAAACCTAAAAATAAAAATGAGAATTAAAATTGGATACTTTTACCCATATATTCAAAATTTACCGAATGGTCCGAGTCGATAATTGATCGAAACAAAAACAACAGTTGAATCCATGAAAAATTTAGGGCCTACACCTCCCTCGTTCATGTAGGCAGCTCCTGATATAAAACCGCCTCCGTGTATCCAGACCATAACAGCAAGATCTGAAGTCGATGAAGTATTGGAAAGATCCTAAAATGGTTTGATTGGTAGTCGATTGAAGGTCATTAAAAGCCTGAGTAGTTTCATTGAAAACGTCGTCGTAACTTCAATGAAAAAAGAATGAACTCTGGACAGCTTTTATTAGTCAACTAAACTTCATTATAGCCTGAAGGATGGCCTTAGTTTTGTCACCAACGATGTAACAATGTAGTGCGCAAATATGTTCTTTCTGATAGCATAAAAAAACCTTGAACCAAAAACTAATCTTCTTGTAGTTGAGATTGTCGAATGTGATATCTGTTGTTAAATTGAGAGAAAAAAAAACGAGAGCCAATCAAAAAAAGCTATTTATAGACGTTTCACCCTGATCTGATGCAAAAAGCCCTAAATCTCATTATTAGATGGTGTCTTACAGGAGGGCTCAAGCTTCAACCCCAACAAAACCATAATTGTACCTACCTTTTATAAGGAAAAGGGGACGCAACTTCGCAAGTGAGGTTAAATATCTGGGAGTCATCTTGGATCGAGAACAGAAGCAACATCTTAAAAGAGTAACCGACCGGGTAATAGCCGCATACTGGACATGCCGGAGATTATTCGGCCAGACTTGTGGTCTACAGCCGAAAATGATCCTTTGGTTATTCACGGTTCTAAGCCCATGACCACAAAATAGTAAAACAATAGACAGCGCAAAACCGATTGGCAACTGTACTGTACAAAGGTATGCAGGTCTTGGAATTACAGGAGCAATGAACACCTGTTTATCCGCCGAAATGGAGGTCATGTTTGACCTCTCCTCACTAGATATAACAGTAGGGAAACAGGCCTACATGGGAGCCTCAACACAGACAGTCCTACTACAGTCCCTAAAACTAAAGGAGACTTTGTCGACAACATGAGCATTATGAAAGAATTCATAAATGTGACCACAAAACCAGTTGACCACATGCAACACAGTAACGAATTTGAACACTCTTTCAAAGTGATTTCCGAACGGGTCATCTGTCTGGTATACAGACGGATCAAAAACAGAACAAGAGACTGGAGCAGGGGTATACAGCCTACTTTGTAGACTTTGAACAAGCAGAAATATTCGCAATAGAACTTTGTGCTAGAAAGTGTCACGAAAGAGACCTGCAAAAAGCGCAGATCTATATCAATAGTCAGGCAGCACTAAGAGTTTTGAGTCGCTCTGTCTAAATCCTGACTGGTATGGGACTGCCAACAACTCTTGACTTCTCGCAATACAGTCACCCTGTGATGCGTCAGGGCACCAAGGAGTCGAGGGAAATTAAATAGCGGACCAACTTGCAGGACAAGAAGCTGCAACACAAACAATTCCTTGGACCAGAACCTTTCTTTGTCATTGCGGAAAACCATAAAATAGGGGAAGTTCAGAATTGGGTGAAGGTTCAACAAGCCTCCCGCTAGAACACGTTTCTAGTACTAGACAGTCAATAAAGGTAAAGGAATCTAAGGCTGCTTACAGGCCTCCTTACGGGTCACTGCCCTTTGGGTTACCACCTGGAAATGATGGGCAAAATAGAAGCATACCTATGCCGCTTCTGTGAAGAAGCCTCTGAGTCTGCGGAGGCATTGTGCCGCAGAAGACTTTCGACTCTAGACTATCTTCTTTCCTCTCTACCTGATTGTTTTAATACTTCTTGATCCTACCATGAACTCGCGTAATTTCGATACGTTGACCTAAATTATCTTCCGCTATTTCTAATAAATATAATTATTTGTTCAACCGAAAATGTCGCAATTTTCTCGATTATTGGATTAGGGGCAACGGATGTCGTAAAAATTTGAGGCGGTATCTTTCAAAGGATGCAGAAACTCGTGTTGGCCATGAATAATATTTTTTAGATGAATCTGTCACTTGGTCCTCGCAATTTAATTACTTCAGCCTTGCTGGAGCAGCCCTATTTAACGGCTGCGGATGTGAAAGAAGCGAATCCCAGCAGGAACATTATCGGGTTTTTGGATTTCACGTGGGTTATAGGTAGGACCTTGCTCAAAGAAAACTCAATTTTCACTTGGTAACGTTCCGTACATATTGGTACTTTTTCAAACCCTAAAACGTATATAATAGTTATTTATGATATAAGTGCTAAAAGTGACATTTTATTTTGTGAAAAGGGAAGTTTGAGACACGACGCCGAAGGCGGAGTGTTCCATCTCTTTGAACAAAATAAAATCACTTTTAGCACGAATATCATACACTATTTTTTCTACAAACGCACTAAAAGTGATTACTTTTAGCACTAGTGCTAAAAGTAATCACTTTTAGCACCAGTGTCATAAAATGGCATTTTAGACACTGACAGCATCCGTTAAAAATGACACTTTTAGTGACGTTTGTAGAAAAACAAACTATTAGAATGGGTCTTATAGGTAAAAATAGTCTATAAAACTTGACAAATAAACTAAGTAGCTACTAACAAACCGAGAACATTTATGGTAAAAATAACAAAATAATAACTTACTCGTAAAAAAATTAGTCCTTACACGCCATAGGACAACAGGAAACACACCTCATTAAAAATATGGATTGGTAGAACATAATCAAATTAAATAACTGAGACTAACACACAAAATTATATAGCAATAAATTAGACAATAATTGAAATAATAACAATTTATTTCTTGTCAGTTGGGTAGCGCTTTATTTGTAGCTCATCAGTGCGAATATTTCCACAACCAAATTTAAGTAAATGGAAGTGTAGGTATCAACAGTACCACAGAGTACCTGCATATTTATAAATTATTCAAATTATGCATTATAGTTAAACCGGTCGGTGGTCTTTGTAAAGTTGTAATATATTACTATAAACCACACCAAGACCCTGTGTGTCAGTTTTGAGGTTCACACAATCATTTAGATTTATGTGTATCATTTCACTAACTTACCAAGACGCCCGGCGAGCATGGTGTTTTAATTGCCAAAACCTTTCAACAACAAATATGTCGACTTCAAAACGAAAAAAAGTACCCCAGGTGGGTAGAGGTACCTCACAATCCCACACTGATACCTTGGTCAGCCTCATGGATTCTGGGGGAGGCACAATAACGACATTCATAAAGAAAAAACAAAATAAAAATGGACCTAGCAAAACTACAACAAATTGCTTATTAAACATTGCAACTTACAACACAAAATCAATCGGAATTAAGGAACGTCTGGTTGAATTAGAGTACGAATTGGAGAAAATAAACTGGGACATTGTAGGAGTAGCCGAAACAAGGAGAAAAGGAGAACAACACCTCCATTTGGATTCCGGGCATACTATGCTCTACAGTGTATCATAACAATGGAGGAGTTGGAATATTAATAAATAAAAAACTATCGACAAACTTGAAAATCCTGAAAACAATGTCTAACAGAGTAATATATGTCGTAATCAATATAAATAAAAATATAACGTTAAAATATATACAAGCTTACGTTCCAACTTTCTCACATGAAGATGACGAGGTGGAAACGGTATACGAAGACATAGCGAGAGCAATAAGAGAGAACTCAACGACGCACACTATTCTAGGAGGAGACTTTAATGCAAAAATTGGCAGAGGAGCAGAACCAACGGAAACACATATAGGAAAGTTCGGACTCGGCACCGGAAATGAAAGGGGAAGAATGTTAGCAAACTTTCTAGAAAGAGAAATACTCTATCTGATGAACACTCTCTTCCAAAAGAAAGAGAAACGTAAATGGACATGGAATAGCCCAGATGGACAAACCAAAAATGAGATTGACTTTATAATCTCCTGCCATAAACACATAATCCAAGACGTAGATGCAGTCAATCAATTCAACACCGGTAGTGATCACAGGATGGTAAGATGCAAACTGCTTATAAACACAAAAATGGAAAAAAAAAAGAAAAATGAAACAAACGACGAGGAGAGGAAGTGGAGAAAAGATAGCAGAAAGAAGGGAAACATACAAACAAAGGCTGAAAGAAAACTTTTCCAACAATCCAGGAAAAACAGAAGAGTCATTAGATGATAACTATAGGAGAATAACAAAAATAAAAGAAACAGCAGAGCAGATAATAGGCCCCTTAGAGAAAACGCCAGACAAACTGTCGATTGAAACGAAACAGCTACTAGAGAAAAGGAGAAAACTGATAACCGAGGGTAAAAGAGACACTATTGAATACACAGAAACCAACAAAACAGCAAGAAAAATGGCGAAACAGGATATACTTAAACATCAAACGAAACAAGTGCAATCCCTATTAGAACAGAACAAAGGACTAAATATATTTAAAAGACATAACACACCTAAGAAAGAGATAACAAAAATAAAAGATGCGAAAAACAACATAGTAGAAGACAGACAACCGATAATAAAAGTTGTGGAATCTTTCTATAGAGATCTGTAAGAATCTAAAATAGCAAACACAAGGACAAGAAAAGACAAAATACGAATAGTAAATGCAAACTCAGAAGAAATGCCCGACATAAATATGGAAGAACTGGAGAAACGGTTATCCCAGATGAAAAATGGTAAAGCGGCAGGAGAAGACAATATTCTGCCTGAAATGCTCAAGGAAAGCGATACTAAGACGAGACAAGAACTAGTGAAACTATTCAATAAGTGCCTAATAGAAGAACATATATCCAAAGTTTGGGAGAATGCTATAGTTGTTCTGATCTACAAGAAAGGCGACCCGACTGATCTCGAAAACTACCGGGCGATAAGCTTACTATCACAAATATATACATTATTCACCAGAATAATCGCCAACAGATTAGAGCGAAAACTCGAAGTTTACCAACCAAAGGAACAGGCTGGATTTCGAAGCCATTATAGCACGACAGTACATCTACACACAGTAAGACAGATGATCGAGAAAGCTACAGAATATAATAGAAACCTATGGATGGCTTTTGTCGATTTCCGGAAAGCCTTCGACACAGTAGAAATCTGGGCAATAATAAAATCCTTGAGAAATGCCAGAATGCCAGAGTGGATCAACGTTATATAAACCTCATTGAAAACATCTATAGGACTTCGACAA